TAGGAGCAACAACACCTAAACTACAAAGCAGTAGACCACGCAAACTCACAGAGTGGGGCTGCCGAGTGCTGAAGCTAATTTCAAATTGCCTCTGGAAGCAACATCAGCAAAGGAACTGTGTGTTAGGAGCTTCAGGAAATGGGTTTCCATGGCTGAGCAGCTGAACACAAGCCCAAGATCAAAATACACAATGCCAAGCGTCAGATGGAGTGGTGTAAAGCGCTGCCACTGGACTCTGGAGCAGTGGAAACATATTCTGTGGAGTAACAAATCACACTTCTCTATCTGTCAGTCTGATGGACGAGTCTGGGTTTGGCGAATGCCAGGAGAACGTTACCTGCCTGACTGCACTGTGCCAGCTGTAGAGTTTGGTGGAGGAGGGATGATGATATGGGGCTGTTTTTCAAAGATTGGTCTAGAACCCTCAGTTCCAGTGAAGGGAAATCTTAATGCTTCAGCTTAAGAAGGAATTTTTAACAATTGTTTGCTTCCAACTTTGTGGGAACAGTTTGGGGAAGAACCTTTTCTGTTCCAGCATGACTGAGCCCCAGTGCACAAAGCAAGGTCCATAAAGGCCTGACTGGGTGAGGTATTTGTCCCTGTTTTTCCCCGTTTCTGTATTTTAATATTTTTATACTAATGCTGTTTGCTATGTGGTGTCGACCAGAGTAGGATGGGTTCCACTTTTGAGTCTTGGTTCCTCTCAAGGTTTCTTCCTCTTGCTCCTAGGGAGTGTTTCCTTTCCACTGTCGCCACTGGAGACGCTCATGGGGACTTGGACCCAGATTGTTCTGTAAAGCTGCTTTGTGACAACGTCTGTCATGAAAAGCGCAATATAAATAAACTTTGACTCGACTTGACTTGGTGTGGAAGAACTTGACTGGCCCCCACAGAGCCCTGACCTCAACCCCATCAAACACCTTTGGGACGAACTAGAACGGAGATTGTGAGCCAGGCCCTCTTGTCCATATATTATATCTTGTTATATATATATATATATATATATACACACAGAGCATATACTGTACAATTGCTGGGCTACAGCAGTTGTTTGTAAATGGTATATTGGGCCATGGACAATCAGAATGGACCCAAAAGCAGATGCTGTTATCAGTGAGTAGCAAGCTCAAAGCCAGAGGGGTTCTATGTAAGACATGTACTACACGCTCATGTGTTTACTCGCAGTGTTGACTCTGCTCACTGAGCCTTTTGGTTAAACCTCTCCAAGATTACACTCAAAGATAAGAGTCTGTCAGCAGGTAAAGGCTTGGAAGAAGAATAATGAGCATGTTCATGTTTATGCGAACAATAGCCTTGGTCTTACATGCATGTTGAAAGCTCTTAGAAGTGGATGAACAGGGTCCCTGTACAAAAGAACCTACCATAGAGAGCATGCATGCAAATTCAAAACACATGGGTTTTAAAATGATGCTTCTGTCAAATTTACATAATCTTCCCTGACTGCACATGGCTCAGTCAGCCAACATGTGGCTGCTATGAGGCTAATGCAGCTAACAAGCAATGGAAGCTTTCAGTTAAAGAGAAACCACATAAGCAAGTCTACTTGAGATTACTTAACCCCTTGAATCACAGACTTACTATGTGATTCAGCCATTTCTTTAAATTATTTAATAACCTCTATAAAAAATGGAAATTATGGAGTTATGAGAGTGAGAAACTACAGTGTGGGCCCACATATTTAAGGGGTAAAAAAATTTAGGCAAGCGTTTTACACAATGCCAGCCTGGTGGCTATCTGTTTCCATTACTTATTAGCCACATTAGCCTCACAGCTTCACTGCAAAAGTAACTTGCATGCAAACTAGCCAGCAAACAGTGAAAGCTGTCCAAACAGCTTGTATTTGTACTCAAACAAGAAGCTGACCACACCAGAGTCTAAACCTTAATATCATGCATGTGTTTGAGATGACTTGGATCACAAGAAGTATAAAATCCAACAAACCTCCAAGACTGGAAACTCTGAAAGTGTGGAAAAATATTCTTGAAAAACTGAAAGCAAGTCTCCCGAAATTAACAGAAGCTGTAATAAATGCAAAGGGTGGACACAGGACTACTGGACAATAGGTAGGTAAGTAGGTAAAAAATGGTTTCTAATCTATGATTTCACTGTGTTAATCCAGCCTAAAAATCAAACCTCAGACACCAAACATGTCTTGGCTGATGAGGGGTAAGTGGTGAATTATGTAAATTAGATTTTTGTCCAAACCAAAAACAAGAGTGTCTGTGTGTGGCGGCCTGTACGGTTCACAGAGATGCATTAGATCAGCCTCTGCAGTGTGGGCTGTGACAGCCCTCTCCTCTCTTTCTGCTGCTCAAAGTAAACACTCCCCGTACTCTCCAGGGCCGCTGACGGGTGCCTGGCCCCCAGGCGATGGATGGCCGGGGTAATATTTTAGCGCCACCGCCCTCATCAATCCTGCACTGTTTGGAAAGGCGGAGCATTAGCCGCTGCAGGCGCGCAGCCTGCCCGTAAACACAGGGAACCCTGCACCGCCTCTAGCCGGGGTCACTGCCGCTGCTGCCCGTAAACACCTCAGCCTGATAAAGCCGCTGCCGCACGGTGCAGCTGGGAAAGCTCCAGAGGGGATGGAGAGGTGCACCTCCGACAGATCCTCGGCCTGACCAAACCAAACCGTGCCTCTGCCTTTGTTGACCGCTTCATCTGTACTTCAAACAGGCACCCACGGCCTAGGTCACCGTGAAGTTCAAAAGACAGAAGAGGAAAGCGGCCTGGCTCGTTCAATAATTCAATAAGCTAAGCCCATATATATACTCGACAAGAGTGACAGCTGGACCGTGACTGCAATGTGAGCATTTGTGTGAGTTCAGTTGCCAAATATAAAAATTCATGGTGGCTCAACTATCTAAGAATGTTGTGGGTTGCGTCTTTTGCATCCTTTCTATGGGACCAGAGTTTGAATATCTGACACGGTTTGGGGTACATGAGACCAACACTAGTCAGTTTCTCTTTGTTGATCTACAGCAGTGCTTGTCATCTCTTATCTCACATACGCAAACTTGTTCAGTCTAGGGATGGAAATGAGAAATCGACTAAAGCCTAGTGGACTTTTAAAATCTCAGAATCACTACATAAGCAATTTTAGACAAGGCTTGCACATTATTCAATACTTCACCCAGAGAAATCTAGGACAAAGCACACCTGATATCTCACCGAAATAAGCGCGACAAGTGCCAAACAGGAGCTTGAGCAATTTGCTGCAGTCACTGAGTCTGCACTAATCTGATTTAAAATGATCATTTTCATGGTCTTTCCATTGCTCAATAGCCTCCTCTGTTTCATGGGCTCATGCAGAATGTGAGGGGTGATTGCCAGGACAGAGGAGAATACTGACTGCTCCAAACCCAGCCGTAGTGACAGTGAGTAGCAGCCTCGGTCAATATTCAGTCTTTTCTCATACAACCCCTCTGCCATGTTTGTTGTTTTAGCTGCTTGTGCCTCTCTCCCTGAGAGGATTTTTGTGCTCTCATTGGCTCATCGCCGTTCCTTCTACTTCTTGTAGAAGTGATCACACTATAAGGTTCACTGCTTGAAAATATCAGGGCATCTGGAACAGTTTGCAGACTGTGAGAAAACTGCCTCAGGACCTGTTCAAATTACACAAGCAGGTGTCATGGACATATCCAATGACATGTTACCGAGCTGGGGGGGGGGTGGTTTGTCGTAGACCCTCAGGTACTCATGTCACTACCTGGTCACTAATAAAATACTACTCGAAATTTGCAAATTGATTTTGCATTACTTGCTATGAAATCTCTTGGAAATGTAACTGTTTCCATGTGGTGGCGGTGCTGCTGGCTACGATTGCTACTGCCAGAGAGTCTGACAGGTTGTGATGCAACATGGCCAAATACGGTCTACTTTCACAGTTAGAGGGAGCTTGCTGGACATGCAAATTGACCAATCACAAATTGCTGTTTTGCGTGATGTATGTAGGGAAAATGCTTTTGTTCACACACCTAGATAACTCCTGAGTAATTTTCACCATCCCTCATACCAGCAAACACAAAAATAGGTGAACATCCTCTTCAACTGCACTTTACCTTTAGAAGATTCCACTGCTTGATTAATCCTTCCTTCCTCCTTGCCTAAAGTACACCATGCATGATAAACTCTTTTCACCGCTCCCATTCTCTCTTCTCTTAGAAAAAGCTTAAACAAAACTAGCCATAATCAACATGGGCAAAGGGAGCCCATTTGGAAATGGTAGTGGCTCCACAGTGTTCCAATGGGTGATATTTCATCAGAGAGTGGTGTAGGCTTTTTCTTCCTGTAGTGTGAATGTGTGAGAGGATAAGTGCGGCCGCATGGTCTCCACACATAAGAATGACCCTAAGGAGGGCATGGAGTATTCGTCATGGAGACAGGCCTTTTAGTGAGGAGCCCTTCACGTAAACACAGTCCCTTTACATTTCCACTCAACCTGGGCCTCAGGAATCCACTTAAGATCAGGCTCAGTAATCAGGCTCAACTTCTTCCATTTACCCTCTGTGGTCCTACAAGTGGTCAGTCCATATGTATCTTTTCTTTCAACGTCAGAATAAAGGCAAAGATGAGTTTTGCTGGTTACACCGAGAGTTTGGAACATTTAGTCGAGTGCGAAAGCTGCTTTAGGACCCCACTCTGCTTGAAAATGGTGTATAAGACTAAAAATTTTCTCAAGAGAAAAAGGCAGGTGTTGTTGCATGAGGACATGCAATCGGCAATAACTGCTGTTCATCACAGTTTGAGGAAACCTATCATTTTGCAAAAACTGTGTGTAAAAGGTGATTATGGAACTGTGCAATTCAGTTTGGGCAAACTTTTCCAGTGACCAAACAAACCTGCAGTAATCAGCCCTTTCCTTAAACAAGCTTATAAGTGATTCTAGATGTGAACAAACGCAAAAACAGGCAAAGCTGCTGCATACCCGACCCAACTGAAACACCTTCTTTCTGGTTTGGTTTTGCGAAGGCACTCACCGGCGGCGCAGGTCCTCTGCAACAGTGGCACGGCAGCTGAATAAGTAAGCCCTGAGAGACTGGAGCTGCTGCCGAAGTTTGAGAACGGCGGCCAGGGGTTCCGAATGCTCGTACAGGCACGGGTTCAACTGCTGCACATCCAACAAGGGCTCCTCATATATAAACTCTAGAAACTCCTTCGCCTGTTTGGACACCTGATCCAAAATGAACAGTTATTTAAGCATTGTTTACGAGCTAAGTACTTCTCTGTGTAAAGTACTTTATCTGTACTTTAATTTTAAAATTAGTATGGTATGTAATATTGTGATGGTTTCAGTTTGATTATACTGTATTTATGTTCTTTGTTGTTTTTTTTTTTTTTACATTTCATCCGATGCAATGATCTTCAGTGCTCATTTCTACAGAGGTATGTCCTATAAATCCATAGTATCCCACGATCCTATAATTCTTAAGGCAGACATACTTGCAGATAAGATGTTAATATATTACTGTGTAAAGGACACCCTTCCCCCACACTGTACCTTCCCCAAGAACTGAGCAAAGAGCATCTTCCAAAGAATCTTGGTCACAGTGGCTATGATGTCAGGACTCAGTGTTACCATAAGATACATATTTGCATTGTGCTTCGACCTGGTCTGTCAGTCAGGCACTATGTATGTCAGTCAGGATCTATTTGCGTGTATGTACCTTATGTTTGTTTGTGTCCCAGTTATGCAGTAGTCGAGCAGGAATGAGGAAGAGGTTGTCCTGGTGGCAGCTCTGGCAATAGTACCATCCACTGTAGCAGCATACCTTGGCCTTACCTCGCGACAAACCGACCGGCCTTTGACATCCTGCAAGATGGGAGAAGGACAAAAAAAAGACTTAGGCCTAATCCATATGTATCCTGGTATTTCTGAAAATGCATCCCGCCCCCCCCCCAAAAAAAATTATTTCCTGTCCACACCAACAACCTTTTTTAGAAATCTCTCCTTTCACACAAGAATATAAAAACACTGCTCTAATCACGGTGGTCATAGGCTTTTACCAATACAATTTACCCATAAGAAATATGTTTTCTATTTTTTTCTGCAATTTTGGAGTTACACAGGTGTATAAAGCTGGGACACAGGAAACGTAGTTTAATACCCAGAAACTCCTTTGTCTCTGAAAAAGACAAAGGCAGCATATATTGCTTCAAAATGTGTTCAGCATTAATGGTGCCTTCATAAATATGCATGTTAACCGCTAATAACCCCCCATAATAGATGCTGGCTTTTGAACTTTATGCTTGTAACAATCTGGCTGTTCCTTTTTTTCTTTGGCCAGGAAAACACAACATCCATTATTTCCATAAACAATCTAAAAGGTTGACTCATCAGCCCACAAGCAACGTTTCCATTGCGCATCAGTTCACTACAGATGAGCTCTAGCCCAGAGAAGGCGAAAGCGTTTTTTGATGTGGGTAACATTTGTACTGTGATTAGCACAATCTTAACACAGTCTTAAATTTCTGGATGCAGCGACGGACAATGGTGTTTCAAAGTATTCCTGAGCCCATGTAATCCATCCATCACACAACCAGTTTTGTTGCCTTGCCATCTGAAAGGTCGAAGGTCAGGAGCATTCAATTGCGGTTTCTGGCCTTGTCCTTTACACATAGAGATTTCTCTAGATTCCCCAAATCTTTGACTAATATTATGCACCATAGAAAGTGAAATAAAAACCTTGCAATCCCTGGCTGAGGAACATTATTTTTAAGTTGCATTTTTGGTAAAAAAACAAAGACTTACAAAGGACTAGGCCTTTCCTGGATGCTGCTTTTATATCCAAGCATTACTGTATCACCTGTTTAAGATTTTTTGAACATTTCACAATGTTCCTCGCCTTAAATGGACCATGACCCAATTTTTTGGGACATCTTGCAGGCATCAATTTCAGGATGACCAAAAAACAATGAAGTTGCTAAGATAAAACATATGTATCTTGTCTTTGTACTGATTTCACTCTAATGCTAGTAGATCTGTACATCACTGCCTTCTGTTTTTCTTTGCATTTTACCTAATTTTCTTTTGGAATTGTTTGTACATTTGTACAAGGTTTGCACATGCATTTGCCTTAAACCAACTGATCAAACGGTACCCAATTCAAATTTTGTTTGTTGTGCCAAATATATGATTGTAAAAGCTAACAACTGTGCAAAATAAGCCCAAATAATGGTGATCAAGCGATTATTTAATAATTGTGACAGGCCAACATAGGCCTAAAATGCTGTTTTCAGGTGGACTGGAGGCCACCTGAAAAATATCCATGTATCTGTGGACAGGGTCTAAGAGAGGCCCACAGCACAAACAGGCACAGATCCAAAAATCAAGGTCAGAAGACAAATAGATAAAGCCCCTCATTAGCGATTGCAACACCGCCCCAGAGGCCAGGGTCAATGAGAGAAGTAACGATCACCCCATCTACTAACGTGCATTCTGCCTATGGAGCTGATAATGATTAATAAAGGTGATCACGTTAATACAGGGCAGGTTAGGTGTTGTGTGTTAATGTGTCCAGGTTTATGATGTGAACCTTGGTCAGACCAGGATCACCAGACGTATTGCCTTTCAGACAAGCCAAAGATAAAACAAGCTTTGCGTCTTTCAAAATGGTCCACCCACAATAAAGGGTACCTAAACGCCAAAGAGTGTCAAACACGCACAACAAGGAGATTCCGGGCCTATTCAATAAAAACTGATATCCCCAAAGCGTGTTTTGCTTTGTCTCCACCACCTCTTTCTTGTCCGTGTTTTCATCAAACATTTGGTGCCTACAAGCAGGAGACTCATCCCAAAGGAACCAAAACAGGTGATTGTGAGCCTGGCAGGTGTCCCTTATCCAAGCCATCTGGGAAACCCTGGCTGGGGACAGTGTGGCAGAAGAAAAGAGGAGAGAAAGAAAAGACTGGAGGGCCGAGTGCAAGCAGGCAGACGCGGACTTGCAGTATTCTCGGTGGAGCATGGCGGCGGCTCCCTACTTCACAGGCGGAAGAAGAGACGGGGAGGAGATAGGAGATAAGATACGGGCGCAAAAACAAGGCGGCAAACACAGTCTCCAAAGAGGGAGGCCTACTGCTATCTACGAGAAAGATCTGCAAAAGGAGGAGTCCGAGAATGAAAAGAAAACAAGTCACTGATTACAGCGTGTGCCAGCGCATGCTGTAGGTCAGATTTTGATGCATTGTTAGCAGGCGGGAATAAAAGAGACAGTATCAGGGTCACACTTCACTGTTAGAAGGCTGGCTTTACAAGGTGAAACTCATGCAACTGGTTGCATGTTGGAAGCTGCATGAAACAACGAAGCCATTTAAAAAACAGCAAGTTGCATGCAACATCAGGGTTCCAGAATAACGGTGTCCCATTGTCCTGGGGACGATAAAAAAAGCATGTGAGACGATGTTCAACCGTGCCAGCCGTCCATGCCCACCCTGAAAATAGCTATGTTTAATCCAGGAACTGTTCTTAAATTTGCTTTATAAGTAACATTCTTCCTTTTTTCTCATATCACTCCGTTTGGAGTCTCTGAAAAATGTCCGTTTGGAGGGCCATGTAGCCCTAACACTTCGCTCTATCTCAGGAAAGGGCTAAGGTAGGTAAGTGGTTGGGGTGAGGGGTGAAATGGGATTGGGCCTCGGTCTCCATTTCAGGAGTGTGTTTCATTACAAGGAATAAACTGAGGACTCTGTAACACTGACGTGGTGGTGTGTTAGTGTGTGTTGCGCTGGTACGAGTGGATCAGACACAGCAGTGCTGCTGGAGTTTTTAAACACTGTGTCCACTCACTGTCCACTCTATTAGACACTCCGACCTTGTCAGTCCACCTTGTAGATGTAAAGTCAGAGACGATAGCTCATCTGCTGCTGCACAGTTTGTGTTGGTCATCCTCTAGTCCTTCATCAGTGGTCACAGGACGCTGCCCACAGGACGCTGTTGGCTGGATATTTTTGGTTGGTGGACGATTCTCAGTCCAGCAGCGACACTGAGGTGTTTAAACACTCCAGCAGCACTGCTGTGTCTGATCCACTCGTACCAGCGCAACACACACTAACACACCACCACCACGTCAGTGTTACTGCAGTGCTGAGAATGATCCACCACCCAAATAGTACCTGCTCTGTGAGGGTCCATGGGGGTCCTGACCACTGAAGAACAGGGTAAAAGGGGGCTAACAAAGTATCAGAGAAACAGATGGACTACAGTCTGTAACTGTAGAACTACAAAGTGCACCTATATAGTAAGTGGAGCTGATAAAATGGACAATGAGTGTAGAAACAAGGAGGTGGTCATTATGTTATGCCTGATCAGTGTCCACTGAAAAAAGTTCACTATGAATAACAAATGTAGATTGTTACTGACATATCCATGCCATCGAAAATACCCCTGACTAAGAACAGTTTACTTGAGACTTCTCTTCCCCTTTTTCAGCTCTCTACTCATTCCTACCCATCTCCAAACCAATACGTAATGGGTTGTTCTAGCCGAGGCTGGAAGCTAGCATCATGTACTGCACTTCGCTGCCAATGTAAACCTGAGGTTTCCAGGGGCAGGGACCCCAGACTATAAAAAGGCAGAGGTGGTGTTCCCCCCCTTTTGCTCCACCGCTGATGGGTGGCTGATAGTAGGGCCGAGCCACAGGCCGCACAGTGGGGTGTCGTGTGTCACGGCTGCCCTGTAATCAGCGTCCATGTGCAGCATGAACCCACAAATACCACCCCATTCCAAAAATAGCACATCGCAGAACCGCTCTCTTCATATCCACTTGTTGTTGAAACTATTATTAAGAAAGATTTCGTTAAAGGCATGGACTCGGCTACGTAAAGTAAACATCATCATTTTAGGGATGTTTAACCCCTGTTAGAGTTACTGCCAGCGATAATTAAAGCACCATGTAATTTTTCACATGACTGTGGAGTTAATTATGTAACTAGGTTGTTAAATATGAGTAGTACATCACAATAATAACTAGACTTCTAAGAATTAGGGAACAAAATAAACCCTCTAGTAGGACCGTCCTTCCTAAATGTTATGAAACCAAATCACAGGACTTCAAGAACATTTGTACGAGTTTCACATGTGTTTGCTTTCCCTGATCAAAATTAACCCAGTTCCACCATCAAAACCCCTTAAGTTCTGCTTAGGGCCCAAGCAATATATGATATTGCTAATTTTAAGGTGCAGTGAAAACCTCAGTAGCAGCGAAAATCCCACTGATAAGGAACCAATATTTAATGGTTTCCCTGGTTTCACTGGTTAAAATTCATTCTGTTCCATTCAATCAAAAATAAACTTCCGTTTAGGGCCCGACTGATGTTCGGTTGGCCAATTTTAACAAAATCCCACCAATTAAGAACTAATATTTAACAGTTTTCCTGGTTTCAGTGGATTCCCTGAATAAAATCAATCCGTTTCCATACGTCAGGAACCTATAAAGTTCTGTTTAGAGCCCGATTTGATATATTGGTCGGCCAATTATACAGCTCAATTTGAAGAGGCATCAGAGTAACAAGCTCCGCTCACTCACCGCACCGTCTGCTGTAAGCCTCGCCTTCTGAAGTGCGGACTGAGCCATAAAACTGCCACAATATCAAGTTCAGCTCAGCTTTGTCAGTTTTTGCCAGATCAGTATTAATGTTGTTTTGTTCCAGCCAGTCTGTAAAGCATCTTACAGCCCATTTAGTTTGGCGAATGGTGTTGGGTTCATTTCTGGCTGATTCCAGGTTGTTTAGCTGTTCTTCTGTCACAGCTGCCGACTGAAAAGCTGCTCAGTGGTGATGACAGTTTGGGAATTTAGTGTCGTCTCATCTTCAGAG